TTTTTTTTTTTTTTTTTATCAGTGACGTAAAATATAACAAAGATTATCTATATACGTCGGATTTTAGGCTGCGTTTCGTAAAACGCAGGACTAAAGGGAGGAGCGCAACTTTTAAAAAACAGATATGGGACGATAGAAAAACATGTTCAACCTCGTGAGAACTTTGCTTTCTTGTAACTTTGCTTCTTGAGTTTATCTCTCCCCTAGAATTCTTTGTAAAATAAGATCTTCTTCACGTTTCTATCTTCACGTACTGTCCGGGTATATGAAAGTTTCCGTTTGCTTTTTGATTTTTTTCTTTTTCGAAACAACGAATATATATTATTTTTTATTGCACGTGTTAGTTTTTGTGTGATGCTCTCTTTGGTTTTTTTTTTTTTTTCGAGTCCAGAGAGACTCGTTTCGAAAGCGCGCGAATCTCTCGTTCTCAAGATTTTATCTGTGCGCGATGAGGGGCGAGATTTTATTTAAAAAAAACTTTAGCGTTTTTACATGTAAAATCTCTCTCTTATCCTGACCCCTCATTAAACGAGCAGATTATTTTCCCCCGCTTTTTTTTGCTATCTTTTGTTATTATTTTCACAATATTTTTAAAGTTCGTAAGCTTTGTTCGCCGAGATCTGAATTTCCTTTGGCACCTCCAGCGGCACCGATACCGCGTACTTTTTTTTTACACTGTGCATCTCATGCATGAGTCCTTTCTTCGTCTCGAGACTCTTATAAGTACTGTACACCACGAACCAAATGTAAAAGCTCGTGATTATTAAAAAGAAGGCGATCAAACCTGAAAACACCATACGGATTTCTTTTAGCAAAAAACAAAAAAAAATCTACCTAGATAATTTACGCAACGCGGATGGGGATTTTTTTTTATTTCAAATATATATATATATATAAATTTACGTACGTTCGCAAATGCCCGCTCTTCCACCTAAAATAGCGAGGAAAGGACAGTCTTCTTCTACTAGGAACAAGGAGATCGCCAGGGCCGCTATAATAGTAATCTTGACCATCATCCAAGGTGCCATAAAGTGACGATTATTCTAAAAACAAAAAAATAATATACACATATATATATATATGTATATGTAGAAAAAAAATCAGATATAGCGTATGTGACAATATTTCAATTTTCAACGACGTGATACCGTTAGAGCTCCGTAAAGAAGTAACATGGTGGAGATGAAGTGGATAACCGTGATGACGAGGCCGCAATACATCGCGTATACCATCTCTGCAAATATAAAAAGCGTCTTTTCGGGAAAAATTACGTAACGAGGAGCGCGATGAAAAATTTTTTGTTTTGTTTCTTGTTGATTTCTCTATGTTTCTCGCATAACAATATGCAAATTATCTCTTTTTTAATGACCGGTTGCGTTGTGATGCGCCATGTCCATTATCTTGGCGTTTGCATGAAAGTGATTCGATATCTCTTCCAAAGCCTCCCTCTCGAGAGCGTCTTCGGTGTCCTTCACCACCTTTTCCAGATTTCTCATTCCGTGTATAAGCGCCATAATAAAAAATATCATACTTAATCCCGATGAGAACTGCAACAACACAATTTTTTTTGAAGAAAAAAATGCTCAAGGACTGCGACGATCAAGTCTCTCTTACGGAGAGACTGATGTCAGATTTTTTATGTACGTGTATATTGTTACCAATTGGAATATAGCTATTAGTATAGTTCCCTGCCTCAGGTTGAAATAGTACATGAAATTCTTCAACAATCCGATCTTCATCTTGGCTTGTGCGTTTGAGATCAAACGGATTCAAGAGCTTCTCTGAAAAATTTTTATCAATTTTATTATTTATACTCTGAGCAAAATATTTCAAAAATCTATATCACTAGAGAGAGAGAGAGAGTCACAGAGCGTGTTGGATCCATTATAAGTTGATCTTGACGACTCCTCTTAACGAAACTTTATATTCCACATTATTATACCGCCGACACTCCGTAGCGATCGAACAATCACGAAGATAAGACGAAAGACAAATTATATATACGCGTGAAATAAATTGTCGTTTTACCTTTGCCGCAAGCAGGTGCGCTCCCACGAATGTGCTCTAACGAACGCGCTCGGAATACCACCGTCTCTGTTCCGCGATGGAAATCAATAACTTTCACCTGAGCCCCGCACCTCCCCCGAGAACAAAACGTGGAATCTATATATCGCGCGACACCCTCGATGAGAGAAATCGTCACACGACGCGGCGCGTTTTCGTTTCTCGAAAAGTGTAGTTTACGGAGCAGAGAAAAACATTCGCGAGAAACAATGCGTTTCGAGGGGTTGCGAGGATTGGAAAACGGGATTCGGGGGTGGTTGGATATACGCCGCGAAGAGGAAAGTGCTGCGTTAGAAGGAGAATACGAACCACACCGAGAGACGAGCGTGAACCACCAGGCGCGCACGCGCTTCCACTCTTCAAAATACATCTACTCCGGAGGATTGATCATTTGTTTATATACGTTGATTAATACGCGATGTGTAACTTGTTGAAATTCAAAAAAAAACTAACTACGTCCTGGAAGAAGTTTCTAAGTTGGTAATTTAATCCTTCAAGCGCGCGCACACGTACGTGTATTACATTACTTAAGAATAATAACAAGCAAAGTCTCTGTAAATTTCAAAAAATTCAAACATTTTTTATGCACAATTACAGTTTTTATTTATTTTATTTTTTTTTTTTCAATTAACGATTTGCGCAAATTCATTCGAATTTTGATACGTGCGGATGAAAAGAGTTTTTTTTTTATAAACTGTCAGAATTGCGGACTCAATTTTAAGCAACGGTCCCCGTCACATATTTTGAATTCTCACACACATGTGAAAGTTGGTTCGATCAAATCGAATCATCTTCTCAAGTAGTCATAGAAACGCGTGACGTGCGTGTATCGATGTTACGATGTCGCCAAAGCTACACGACTAAACGCGATATAGCATTCGCATTCGGTAATTAAAACACAATAATTACATACACGGTTTTTTTGTTAAGCAAATTTCCGGGGGAGGCGTCAATATGGATCGAAAGTATCAGAGAGTCGGTTTGGGAGTAGGCGCGTTTCACAATCCGCCGATAGCAAAATACAGCGAAGAAACCAGAAATCTTATCAAATGTAAGTAAATAACCCCTCTGACACTCAAGTACCTACAGTGTTTCATTTCTAATGTGTGTGTGTGTGTGTGTGTAAATGAATAATATTTAAATATATAACTCTCGGAAGATGTTTCACTTGTTTTCGTAACGCAAAAAAATGTTCAATTTTTTAGTGCTGATGGAGGAATCCAAGCTGACAATGTTACAGAGAAAAACAATCCAGAATGCCGTGGACAACGGCGAGCCTTTGCCGCTTTCGGTTGAGAGGACGAGAAAAAAGGACGACAAAATCGAAGACAATGGAGTAAGCGTCGTGTTAAAAAAAAAAAAAAAGACACGGTAGAGAAGTTAGTTCGTTAAAAAAAATAATTTCGTTAAAAAAGTTCGTTAAAAAGAATTTTCCGCTAGCACCTTCTTAAATCGAACAGTGCTTGGAGAAGACGGTCGCAAGAGACGATAATAAGCAGCGGTGCTTACGAGAGAGAGCAGTACCGAAGAACAACGCCCTTACGTAAAAATTATTACATATTTTTTCTATTACATGTAACGATAATAATTTAGCAGCTGTATATATAAAAAAAAAAAAACAGGATATACGTAATTATTGACATATGTATTTTACGTCAAATCTCAGTCGACAAGGATAAACAAAAACGTCACTTGGCGTGTATGATGGCTTATGGGAAAGATATGCCGGCGACTCCGCACGGTCCTAAGATTCTGCACAGACCTAGACGAGAACCGCAACCGATCGAAACCGCGGATCTTCTGAACGACCGTAAGTTACCTATCTTCTCCAAAAAAAAAAAAAACAGTTTTTGGAGAAAATTAATCGTTCGAAAAAAAACAGAAAAAAGTTTTCTGAGTTGCTAAAAATTTTAAATATATATATAGAATTTTATTATTCGTGTATTGATATAAAAATGCAAGTTGCGTAACCGCGTCACCGTTGTTTTCAAGTGGTACAAGGGATACGAGAAAGAATGGATTTCTTGCGCGACATGGAGAGTCTCGGTATGGGAAAGAAGTATCGAACCATAATACAGCAGGAAATAGCGCAGAAAATACGACTGATCGAGTCTCTGGACAAGTCGACGTCCGACGAATTGCGAAATGAGATTTGTGAATTTAGATTTGGCGATAGAAAAAAACCGTCGCCGAGACCGTTCCTCCCGCTCGGAGAATTGGAAGAAAATTGATCAAAGGTGGTGTGTTTTTGGAAAAACGTGAGAAGAGAAATAAAAAAAAACTGCGCATTTATCCCAAACTCGATGTGTGTTGTTATTATTATTATATCAATGACAAAGAAATATATATATATATATATAAACTTTAAGGAGAAAAAATGTAATTGAGAGTTTTTCTCTTTAAATTTTTTATACGCAGAGAGCCGTCCACGTTTTCCGTCGGCTATGTTGCTTCGTGCAAATTCCGCGCCGGGACGTTGTGGTCGCGCGGAACATCTTCGCGTTTCCCCGCACAGCAACGCTCTCTCTCAAATCTCTCGAACACATTCTCTCGTGCTCGACGACCCGCGCTCGACCGTCGGCGGGTTGTTTCGCGTTCGTCTCGTTGTCTACTTGTCAGAGTCAGTCTTGCGCCGTGCCGCGATGGTGCGCGACGTGCGATTGTTTTGTACCACACGCTATAGTGTCGTTTGACGTGTCGCAAACGTAATTGACACTAGCTGGGTGCGCGGTGTCGCGGCTAAACTTCGTTCGTTTTGACACAACCCGCGCCCCGGAACGCGGTCGGCTCTAACCTCTAGAACCTTGCGGCCTGTCGTCGGCCATTGGCCGTCGTCCAATATTTTCCACCGCCGGTTTAACCGTACGGCGAATGATCCACGGATAATCCAACATGGCGTCGACCGATCTGTCGTTCGGTAAATGATACATAAATCCGCATGCTGCGTAAAGCCCCCCTCGTAACCCCGGGTCTCCCGCCCGCGACAAGGTCCGGTTGTTCCGGAGAACGTCGACGACGCTTTTCGTTGACGCGACGATCGCGAATACCGTCGTCGACGTTCGAAGGAAAAACTACGCGATTTATTATTCTACGGATTATCTTTCCGGTTTTCTTGTTCGATTGTTCTCGTGTAAAAAATTACAGGCCAGATCATGCTCAACGCGTTTTCTCGTTTACTTTTGTAACCGCCTCCTCCGGATCGACGAAGGTCGTTCTCGAGGAATCGCGATCCCAACTGTTGTTCATCTCAGACGATGTCAAGGATGCTCCCGCGAACGCACCTCGTCCAACAATCAGCTGATCTTCGCTACATATCCGCGAACATAAATCACATATGCGCGACCACTCGAGAGAGCCACTCGATACGTGATTAACGGTAACAACGTGCGTGTTTTGTTTGTTATCGCGACTCTCCCAATCCCGTTATCCAAGAAACCACTCGACCACTTTGGATGTTGAGCGTGATTTTGAGCTGTCAATCCTCGGCAGACGCTAGTCGAGGTCGCGTCGCGGGTTGTCGAAGCATAATTGTTAAAAGGAAGTTGAGGAATTGTTTTTTTTTATTTTTTTTTTATTTACGTTAACACCGTATTTGTTGCTGCGACACGTCCTGAGGACGCGTCGCAACGAGATCTCGCGGGTTCTCGCGCGCAGAAAGTGTCGCAACCGTACCTCTTGCTTCTTTTTAACAAAAAAAAGAAAAACAAAAAAATAAAACTAAGTTTATTCGTTGCGGAACGGCGACCGATACGGAGTGTGGCTCTCCGCAAGTTGGTGTCGTGACGCATGACCAACGAGAGCGCGGTCGCGGATATAGAGAGAGCGAGCGGACACTCTCCGCTCTCTCGAAGGCCTCTCTCTCTCTCGACGTTAAACGTCGTCGCGAGCGAGTTCTCTCGCAAGAGACAGAGAGCCCCATATCTTATATATATATATACATTTTTTTTCTCTCTCTTCCTTATGTCTCTCCCAGGCTCCATACCGGCTTTCTACAGAGAGGTCTACGACAAGATCTGCTCGCCCACCAGCGGGAACGTGAAGCTCGAGGTGTTCAAATCCCTTCTTGTCAAGTCGCAATTAAGCGGTTCCGTTGTCAGCCAGGTATGACGAGATTCCCATTCTCATATTTATATACTATGTACTACCTACATATTCTCAATCTTCGCTTTTCTTCGTCGCTTGTTCTTTCCCCCCCCCCCCCGCTGTATTCTCGCGCGTTGCGAATATTATCGTCACTCCCTACGTATAATCCCGTAACTCCAAAACGCAAATTTTAGAGGAGAGCAGTTTAAAAGAGTTTGAAGCTTCCATATAGTTTCCCTAGTTAAGGGATCTTTCGGTTTTAAATTTTTACCTTACTTAGGAATATTTTTTTTTAACACTTGGCGACCACAAATAACGTGACTTTCTAAGCGTCACCATGCAATAAACTGAAAATTCCATATGTGACACTTATGTAATTAACACGTAGGGAGTGACGTTATTACAAACGGTCAAAAAATCAAGAAAGCATTTTAAATTGTCACGTTCACAATCAATCAATAGCCGAGTAAGCAAATCCGAGATAGCGAGTTTCAAACGCGAGCAAGGAATGTGCTCACAGGATTTCTCAGCTTATCTGCACGACCTTTCCCAATACAGAGTCTATCTTTCTAAAGGAATTATACAACCACGTGCACGCGCGCGCGCGCGCGCACACACACACACTTGTGGCAAGAAATTCCTTCTTTGTGTTTTACGCGAGAACGTAAGACGTTAGAAGCGAATAAGTGTTGGCGCGAATAATTTATTCTTCATATATTTCGCGATGGTCCGGTGGAAAATTTTCGGAGCGGCTCGAAGGTAATTTCATTTTAAATGCTTAAACTAACGCGGAGATATATCATGTGGTTTTCTTAGAATCACCGACACGTTAACACATATAGCTTATTTATATTGTCTCACGCAAACATTTTTTTGCGATTGTTACGGCGAGTTTGTTTTTATACAATTTTATCTTTCAACGATCGTCTCTCCAAACTCGTCAACTTGTTGCGTCAGTACGTTTGCGCGTTTATATCCACGATCACGTTTTCTCTCGACGACATTCGCAGCAGCTCGAAATGTTTATCCCGCTCGCGCGCGCGAATTAATTTATTCAGTCCCGCGGAAAAAAAAAAAAACTATCGGCGCCAATTATACAACACGTTGTAATATTTTTTTCCATACAAACACTTCAAGTACCGTTTGCTATACATATATATATATATATATATATATATGTGTGTGTGTAATATCGGTGAAGCTTTTTATCAACTTTAAACACGCCTGCCGGTGATAGCGCGCACGGACGCCCCTTCATAATAGTGCAAGATTATGTGGCAGGGTCAACCATACCCAGTCTCTCTCTCTCTCTCTCTCTCTCTCTCTTTCTCGCACACATATATATACACAGTCTGTTTTCCAGCAACAACGTCACACACAAACACACGTTCCAGTCGCATTCGTCGGCGAGTGTCGACTTGTCTCTTATCTGTCCGCTTAAAAATGCAAAAAGAATTGCAGATCTTACACAAACTTTCTTCCCGGGTCTCGAAAGAGTTATCGCGCGAGAGATATCAAATGAATATTGTGGGAAAAAAAAAATAAATATATATTGCGCGAAATGGAAACGGACGTATTTCGATTTCTAATCAAATTTGTTATCAATCTTATTGTGTGTTAAAAGTTCTTATCGTGTATATTCGGTAGCTTCGAAAGAGAGAGAGAGAGAAGATTTATATCGCGAGTGAAGAACTTGTTGCGCAAAAATCTTCGATAGAAAAATGACTAAACTGTGCGACATTCAGAAATGTCACGTCGTATCACGATCCGTGTCTCTCTCTATCTCTCTCTCTTTATTGTACTAACAATATAATCAAAATAGAACTTCAGTGCGCGCGCGCGCGCGCAGGGCCGCACTGATATATTGGACTCTCGCTTAAACAAACAGAGACACAATCCTGTTATACATTAAAACAAAAAATAACACGTTCTCTCTGACATACGCGTTAGATACTTGTGCAAAAAATCTCAATCTCCGCTCACGTTCGAGGGGCATGTTCGAGCGCAACAATCGCACGCGTAACATACATTTTACGCGGTGCCACACGCGCGGGTCGTCTTCCTGCTAGGTGAAATCGGTTTGATTGCCGTCTTCCGCATTGATACGCAATGTGTATGCGATATCTTTTTTTTTTTTATATCCCGCGAAAAATCGTCGTTTTCGAAACGAACACAAAAACGTTTTTGTTTCTCTTTTCAAACTATCGCAATTAACATATCTCTCTCTCGCTCTGTTTTTTTTCTTGGAAGTTTGCGTAATGTTGAAAAAAAAAAAAAAAATTAATTTTGTTCCAGTCTCTTAATTTGCGACGATTTGTCGCGAAGTGACTTGTCCGCGATGCGCGACAAGTTTCTTCTTTCTGTGATGTGGAACATATGTTTATCATATAAAAAAAAATAATAATCACAAATACGCGATAATATCAGAAACACGTTTTTTTTTTTTTTTTTCGAATGCGTTTCGCCGTCATATCGTAAGGTATTTGCTTGAGCATCTTGAGATTACAGCATATGTGTCTCTTTGGTTGTACGCAAATGAGAGATGATGATGAGTTGCCGCTCGATTCCAGTTTGCCTGCGCATAATTATCTCGTATAAGAGATTGTTGCGTGACCGCGCGAGCACACGCAATATATCTCTCTCTCTCTCGTTATACACGTGCTTTCTTACCACCCCGCGAGATTATTATAACCATTTAGTCTTCACTCGTGTTTTTTTACTCTATCGCAATGGAACTTTATTTATATTGACACAAAATGTCAACGTGTTCTCACAAAGAGCGTGTAATTTGTTGTTTTTTCTTACGATAAAAAATTTCATCTCTTCGAAATTACAAAGCGAAGATACATCCGGGGTTCAGAGCTGTAATTAGATTAATAATTCAATTAGATAATTCAACGAGAGCGCGCGCATCGTGCGCGCGTTTATAAAAAATTAAATTAATCTTTGTTCGAACGAACAAGGGAAGAAGGAACGAGATCACAGAGGTGGATTACTTTCGTTTATGACCCTAATCTTTGGAATCTTTATTCACAAAGAAGTTTGTTTTTTTCAGTTGCGTTACTTTGCACCGTGTGAGGTGCGGCAGCGCGTGTGTGTGCATTTTCGCCGCCCCGTTTTCTCGAGTCATGTACTTCTTTTTTTTTTTTTTCCCCATTGCCGCAACCAGCGCTCACTAAGTAGCCAGTTGCGATTTTGCGAAGATCGTAATTTGCAACCGCTTGTTTTTCGATCGATAAACTTTAAAAATTTTACGAGCGGAAATCGAACAAAAACTTTTATTATCTTCAAACTGATATTGCGCGCGCGCGCAATGTTCCTAGAAATAATATAATTAGAGAGTGTGTGCGTTGCGAGTATTGAATCTTGAAAAAAAAAACGGATTTCTTTTGTGTTATTTCGCAGATATGGAAGTTGGTGGACAACAAAACGGGTTATCTCACGAGGAGCGGATTGTACAAAGGACTCGCTCTCGTTGCTTTCGCTCAACAAGGAAAGCAACCCAGCGACAAACTGCTGGAAAACTCCGAATCGCAAGGTCAGTCGAGATTTTAATTCGATAAATTTACTCTTTGATTTTTAATTCGCGAACTGTTACGCGACTGAGAAAAAAAACAATTAGAAAAAAATGCGCGCTCTAAAAAATATTAGAAAATTTTTTAACGTGTGACTATTAGTTGAGAAAACGAAATAAAGAGTGGCGATTAAAGAAAAGCGAGATAACAAAGTGAATAAATGAGGGAAATAATCGAGTAACAATTAGTCAGTTATATAATTCGTGATAAACTTATCTCCCCCGATATTTTCAATTGTGAGCGTTCTGTGAAAGTTTTGTTTTGTAATAAATAAATCTAATTGTCGACGACAAATGTGCTTAAATGAGCACCTAAAACGTGTGTCTCGGCAGCGCGACGAGAACCTGCCGGCGTTTTAACTTCCAAAGTCATTGACCAGCAAACTTATTACCGGTTTGCTTATCGGTAGAAAGTTTTGTATTATCGCAAGTTGACGCAAGGAAACGTTAAGTTCTTGTTAGAAGAGAAAGAAGAGAAGAATCACACGCGCGCAAGATTGTTTTCTACATTTCTTACGCATGTTATTTAACAAAAAAAAAAAAAAAAAAACAAATTACAAAAAATTTTTCTAATTTTCGTGAAAAAAATTAGATTCGCGATTTTACCGTTTGAAAAATTGTCCTCTTCTCCTGCAACAATATTCTCGCTGCACAACGGTGAAAATGTGAGGAATAAAAGATGATTTTTTTTTTTTTGACAACAACACACCGAGAGTCGTCGTGAATGGTGAGATTGTGGGAACGTAATAAAGGATTGCTATATACACAAGCAAGGTATATCACGAGGTCACAAGGCTCTTTCAGCATCGGAGTTGTCGACGCGACACGATGATTATTTGCTGCCCGCGACATAACAATACCGCGAAATCTCTTGCTTGCTTGCTTGTTTAAGATAGAAGAAGAAGAAGAAGAAAAAGAAGAAAACTCTACAACTACGACGTCTTGGGAACAATTGTTGGGAAGAAGAAGAAGAAAAAAAAAACTTTTACTATTTAGGTCAGAAAATGTGTGTGTTCTCAAAAAAAGGATCATTCGTTCGCAGAATTACCGGTTCCTGTCTTGGGCGATCTGTCGGAAGTGACGCTTCTAGCGCAGAGATTACACAGAGGCAATCCCGCCAAGCTGAATCACACGTACTCGGATATCTGTAATCTCGATACTATTGAGGTTAACCTCGTTCCCGAGAAGAAAGGCATCTTCCTGAAGCATGTGGAGTATCACGTCACCAGCAAGGTATTGATCAAATATGAAAGAGAAAATACGTAAATTTATCACACTAGGTATATCGGATATTTCTTAATTAATTACGCGCCAGTTAGATAGAAGTTAAATTACGAGGAATAAAAAAAATTGCATAAATAAATTTACGCAAAGAATTTTTTAGAGGTTCAATTCGGTCGTATTCAGACGTTACAATGACTTCGTGTCACTGTACGATCTTCTCCTGGCCCGGTTTCCTTACAGATTGATACCCAAGTTACCGCCGAAGAAGATTGTGGGAGGTAAATATATATATATATATAACGCAACTTTAAATGTTAAATATGAACAACAGAATTATAATTTTCTTTAGAATCTTATCTTCTCGCTTATTTCAAACATCCCTTTTTTTTTTTTTTACAGCGGATTCGCATTTTCTCGAAGAAAGACGCCGTTCTCTTCTTCGCTTTCTCACGTTGATTGCTCGTCATCCGGTAGTAAGCGAGGATCCGATCGTGCAGTTCTTTTTTACGTATACCGGTGACGAGACGCAGCATAAGATTCGCGAGGTGTTCAGACGCGTGCCCGACGAGTTCGCCACGTCGGATTTGTCGTCACGAGCGAAGGAGCTGATGCCACCCGAAACGCTGACCGAGTTCGCGAACAGTCGCGATCAGATACGCGTTATACTCGTTGGGATCTCGCGTTTGAAACACATTGCCGACGGTCTCGCGCTCAGATCGCACAATTACGCGATGGACATGGCCGATCTCGGGAATCAGCTGAGCACTTTGGCCGCGGAACAGCATGGCACGAGTACCTGGGTCACAGGCGGTTCTAGCATCTGGCAAGACATGAAGAAGGGCTTTCACGCAATCTCAAAGTAAGAGGTTAAATAAAGGTGTTTTGCGAAACAACGTGCTCGAGATTTCAGTTGCAATCGAATACAAAAGTTGTTTTCATTTTTTGTTTGTTTACTTGAGAAAGAGAATTAGATAACAAATCTATACTTGAAATCTTTACACCGCCCAACCGCGAATAGAAGTATTGGTATGAGATAAGATAAATGGTGTTGGAAAACTGTTTCAGAGAATTCAATTTGTTGTCAACCAGAGCGCTTCAACAAGCGGTCAGAGAGGAGACTATGGTGTGCGAGAGATTGAATCTTCTGCTCGATATTTTAATCGCTCACAGAATGTTGTGCGAGAGACACGAGCGAGGCGTAAGCGCCGATCATCAACGCGCTCTATCCACAATGTTGTCTCTTAAGAAGAGACAGATGCAAGGTGTTATCCGCGGAACTGACGTACGTGTATAAGACATTCATTAACTGCACGATTATTGTTTCGCCACGCAGATTGTGTTTAACTCGTAATTTTAACGAGCAAATTGCGTTTGCGCAAATTGTATAATTATTCGTCATCAACTTAAAGATAAATATAGAAATCCGAACAGTCATCGTCGCAAAAAGAGCGTAACTTCCTGCGGCGGTCTTACGCAATCAGTTCGTGTCGCATTGTTGAAAAAAAAAAAAAACGCGCGATTCAAACTGTGTCGCTTACTCAGTTTCAAAACGGGAGTACGAGCGAGATTTTCATTTTCATTCGCAGGCTGACACCGTCGAGTACCTCGAAAACAAAATGGTCTCCCAGGAGTCGGTAATCGCCAACGTCGAGCTGAGAAATTGCTTCTCCTTGCTTTGCTTACACATGGAGACCCAGCTCGTGCACGCTCATTTAGAAGTACTCGCCACCGTACTTCAGAGTCTCGTTAGTGTACAAATTCAGGGACATTCCGAAGTAAGTATTATTAATTCACATAACGAAACCAGGTTATTGTTAACTAAAAATAAGTAATAAACACGATTGATTTTGCAAACGAATCCAGAGATCTCGGTAAGCTATTTTTCCGCTTAAAATTCAATATTTGTATTTCTGAAATACACACAGAAATTTTTTTATCTTCATAGATTTGTTGACACAAATGTGTGTATTTGTTTGTTTTATAGCTGGCTGAAGTATGGAAACTGATTGAACCAACGATTACCAAATGTTTACCCGAAAAAGTAGCAAGTGGATCTAACGGAGGATAGCATAGGAATTTTTCATACTTTTTAGCAGATGTAATGGGTGTGTTTGTCAAATATATTATCAAATACTCTTTTCACTTTCTCCCTCTCCCCCCCTCCCCCCGTCCTTTTCCTTCTTGAAATCAATCTGAAACTCGCACAATTGCTAACAAATACGATTAGTGATACACAGATATCATTAGTATATGCTAGAGAAGAGAAAGATGTACAAAATTCCTCCATTTTTGATAAAAAAAAAAAAAAAAAAAACTGATATTAAATATTGATATTTTATATAATTGTCCGAATGGAAAAAGCGTTCAATGCAGATGTGTGTTTGTATTTTATAATTATATACCACTAAGAATCTCGAATGTATAGCGTAAATGTATAGACTTTAGAATTTTACATTCCTTGTTGTGTACTTATAATATATTTTATGGATTTTGAAAGTGTTATAACTCGACATTTGTTATATCACTTTATTATATGTACGTATAAGGTTTTTTATATAGGTTGTATATATCGTATTATTATATCGCTATACGTGATGCATTTATTAAACAGTTGCGTGTGTGTATATATATACATAAATATAAACTATTTTGTAGAAGAAAAAGAAAAAATTTTATATTATATGTATATACAGATATGTGAAACAATGCACCGTCTATATAAAATAAGTTTAAATTTATTTTCTTACTTAGCACAACACAAGCGCGCGCTACGCGCGCGCTATTATTATTTTCATTTTCATGTGTTGCATCAGTGAACACATAACCTGTCACCGCGATGACAGCTAATATATACATCTTATAAACTATATAATACACCTACGAGAGATGTCACAAATAACGCATGAAAATTAAACTCAAAAAATGAAAGAGAGAGAGAAGAATGGAAAAACAACACATGACTAAAGTCACGTGACAAAGAAAAGAGTAAAAAAGAAAATATTATACATATATTACAGATAATATTCTATATCTATATAATATACACATACATACACACACACATATATATATATATATATACCGTAATTACGTGACCGAGGTCAGTGACCCCGCCAAGGTCGCGCGGCCGAGGTCAGTGACNCCNCCNNNGTCNCGCGACCGAGGTCAGTGACCTCCCCCCCACCAAGGCCGCGCGGCCGAGGTCAGTGACCGCGCCAAGGCCGCGCGGCCGAGGTCAGTGACCCCGCCAAGGCCGCGCGGCGGAGATCAGTGACATTACTATAGTATGTATATAATACGTATAATACAATATAAAGTATGACTCATATTAATTGACGATGAAAAACATTTTTAATATATATATGTATATTAAAAATTTATATATAAATATTATATAAAAAAAATATATATATATATATACATACATAAAGACCACAGGGGAAGACCTTTAAAAGTCAATTTTTTTTTATGTTTTGTTTTTCATGTTATTTGGTAGTTAAAATAGAGCATTTTAATTATCCAAGGGAAAGAATCACAGGAGAAAAACTTGATAAGTCAATTTGTTTTTATTTTTTGTTTTTGACGTTATTTGATAGTTAAAATGGAATATTTTAATTATCGAAAGCGAAAAAGAGAAAACTTTTTGATAGATTTCAAGATAAACATTTTTATAAAACGTGTAACAAAAATACATATACGTTTCGAACTTTAAAATCACTCTCTTCTAAAATTACAAAATGTGATTTATCAAGTTCCTCCTCTGTGATCTTCATATATATTAAAAATGTTTTTCATCGTCAATTAATATACATACATACATACATACACACATATATATATATCCTATTTATTTCTTATAAAAACTAATGACATTAAACATATATGTATATATAGTTTTGTAAGAAATAAATAGAATCAATTTCACCATGTCTAATTAATGTAACTGATCGATTAAGCATCAATTGAGATCAATCATTTCAATTACTAAACCAATGTCATTTCAACGGGGAATATAAGCGGTCTATTACATTACTTTGCGAGTGAATTATAATAATATCATATTTAAAGTACACATTATTACAATTTCTACAATGTTGTCACATAAAAGATGATTAGTACATATATATTTTTTCTCTACATATTCATTTTACGTTCGAAGAAATCTTTTCTTTCGATGGTAATATAGTTTGCTGTATAAATAACTTACTGTGTATGTATCTAATACATGTGCAATAACATGTTTGAACTGCGGTGTGTCAGATGTCAGGCGTGTATCAATTCAAAATGAGGTCTTTAAGCGGTCAATGTGGCTCGATCTGTCTCTGTTTCCACGTGAGAAGAACAAAAAAATTGACACCCCCAATTCGAAGTGTCATGTAATAATAAAAAAAATTAAAATGAAAAAAATCGAGAAAATTGCGAATTAGCGAAACAGTAATCGTGATAAGTTTTCGAGTCATCCTCTTACATATATATATGTATATTTAAAGAAAAAAAACTACGCAATGTCTCTTATTGAGATTCTCGTCTCCGACACTGTAACGTTTTTTGAACGTATGACTTTTTTAAACTAAAAAAAAAAAAACGGTACTGTCGTGAGTGAAAAATAAAAATTAATAATTGCATTCAACAAACGACGCAGTTGGGAGGATTTTTCTTTCGCTTGTAGAATCTACAAAGATAATTAACCTTGACGTTGGTACCGCACACAATCCTTGTGACCGGTGGTCCTCATACAAAAAAACCCTTGTGCGGAACCCCTCCCGTTGGAGGACGCTTCTTTCGTCGCGCTTGAATGTCAACATCATCAGATAACGTTCCGTCCTCGACGAGCAATTCTCGAGAGAACTCGGGGGAATAAACGAGCCCGCGCGCGAGTATTTTCATTCCCTCCGAAGAGTCGGGGGGGAGGAGGAGGGGAACGGAAGAGTATATGTACTACGCCCTTACGTGAGAAAGGGCAGACTACTGAACATTGCAAAGGCAATTTTCCCCGACAATGCCGGCTACTTTGTTTCGGCCGTGTGCGTTACTTTGAGAGTTGCGCGCGTTGACTTCGGGAGTACTACCTATATTTTCGCATCTTCCGCCGGCGTCGCTTCCACGTCTACGCTAAAGAGATTCAGCTTTTCGTAGTCCCGGAAGAGTACCGGTATCCTGACGCAGTTTTCAGGCAAAAGAGACGAAGAGAAATGGCGGAAGCCGCCACAGCGTGGCGGTAACGTGGCGCGTTAATTAGGCGCCTCAGGCGATACCGACTAATTTGTCTTCTTTGTGTGCGCTCTATCATTCTCGACTGCGCTTGTCCGTACATGTTACCTCCCTCGCGTGTGTTATCGCGCGTGTTATCCGCGTACGACGTCGCGCGTCGTCTCGCTATTGATTTAAAAAAAAAAAAAAAACAAATTTCAGAAAACATTTTTCAAAACTCCTCTCCAAAGAATATATTTACATTTTATATCATTTTCTGTTTTCGATCTCGTCTCTTTGAAAAATGTACGTTCTCAAAAAAGTTTCTTTTTATATAGCGGGCACCGTGTATATATACATATATGTAGAAACGCGCATGCAGAGACGTTAAAAATTAAGAAATTTCCGCTGCCTCGGTCATTCTATAGGTATTCACATGGGCTGGCATGGTCCTGCGCCAAAATGCAGCAAAGTTCTTCTACGAGAATCATCTCGTTATCGTGACCAGCTGGGCGAATGCCGACTCGTTAAGAGGATTTCCTTTGACTATCTTTTTTTTTTTTTTTCTTTCACCTCTTTTCCCGATTGCTCCTTCTCCCGCATCTCGTTTGCAGGATTTTGCGCTGTTGCATAATGGGGACATGATAAGGGAGATGCGATTACAGTGTTGCGTATTTTTTTTTTTTTTTTTTTTTATTTCGCTTCAATTAAACTTAAAGAAAGTTTATGGACGTTATTGAAGTTATACGGAGAACGTTACGAGTTTGTGTACATCTGTTTTGTAGAATCCGTTCAAAATTGGCGCGTTATTTCAACGAACTACGAAAATTAAACTTTGATCACTCTTTCCCGGTTGTTTTAAAAGTGACTCGGCGGATTTTGCTGTTCTTGGCAGAATATAACGCGAGATTTATTAGAAAAAAATGAAATCGCAACGGGCAATGCGCGATTATCGCGCGTCAAACGCAGACACGCTAACTACATTTCTGTGGATAGATATTGTGTAAAAAATTAGCATGAAGTAAGTAAATAGAAATTGTGCGAACGAGAGACAGGTGAAATATTTTACCTACTTTTGTGAGAGATATTATATACTTCCAATAATTAATCTTTCAACAAAATTAATGAAGAGTTTAGGTTCCTTAAGAGTTAAAACTAAACAACGCGAAATTCAAACGGGTCATGGAAGCCTTACGCTGGACGTTTGTTGCGGGAATAAACAATTAAAATAAATATATATATATATATATGTTTCTTTTTGTGTAAATTTTTTACACGTGAGTTTTAATTGAAATTTCAATTCCTAAATTCATATAGGATACTATACTCGCATCACGTGCATAAGAAATCCCCGTTTGCTCCCTATCTACTTTTAAAATATTGCGAAAAAAACACCTCAGAAATCGAACCAGGAATCTCCGCACTAAAAAAAAAAAAAAAAACAGTTTTGTTGGGATAACAAAAATTAAATCAAACCAAACAAAGTGTTCTGGAAACCAAATTTTCGTTGAGATTACCAAAATTTGATAATCAAAACTTTTTTCAGTGCGGCTTTCCGTCCCATAAATACATATATATATATATATATATTCCGCAAAAAAACATCCAGCGTAAGGATTTCGTGACTGTCTAAATTTTGCAATGTTAGTTTTAACTTACAATATTTAATAACACAACAGTTATATAACGAACTCATACAGAACTGGCTGCGGTTGTTGGCGTGTAAATTAGATTTATTACCAAAACACATATACTTCTCACTTGCGTCGCCGCAAGTTTCAACACTGGTTTTTTTTTGGCTCTTTTTGAGCAAAAAGTACGTTATCTTATTTATATACATTTAAGACCAATACTAACACAACTAATATATATATCTATATCTATCTCTACAATAATATATCTATATTATATGTAAAGCTAATATATTTATATAAATACAGGTTGCAATTTGCTCGCTGCTTCTCGACTATCGATATATGGATGTTATATTGTTACGGAAGTACGAAATATACATATATACATATATATATATATATATATATATAGAGAGAGAGAGAGAGAGAGTAAAAAAGCAAAAATAATATGACTATAAAATAGTATGACATATAATAAATTTGCAGATACGTTATGCAATATGTTACGGAATACGTTATTGACACAAAATTATTTCTCTCACACAGATTACATGTAAATAACGGTGGATTTCATATGATCATCATCTATCTCTCGTATATCTTCATTATACGAAATGTGCAAATGATGTCGACAGATCTACATTATAGTGCAACGGAATATTTGCATTGCGTAAATTTGCTTCTAACGATGCGTCCGAACGAAAACTCGTTCGTTGCGCTAAATTTGCTCGGCGCATAATTCGGTCTGAAATGATCGTCAAAAGCGAACGAAAAGCGTAAATTTCCCTTTAAGAGACCGAAATGTACGCGGGAAAAAGAGAAATACGGTTATGCTCTTTTCGAGAGCAGCTCTCTGACGATTCGCTGTCCGAGTTTTACATTTGCTATGGTGGGATTTTTATTGTCGACCTGTTTCTCTACGGAAGGATGTGCCGCCTCCGGGGAATTTAAAGCGTCATTCTGCCATTTTCTATTCTATTGCGCTCTCTGCAGAAATAAACTTCACCGGCTGCGTCGCTTGTAAAACGCATCG